CTATCTATCTATCTATCTATCTATCTGTCTGTCTGTCTGTCTGTCTGTCTGTCTGTCTGTCTGCCTGCCTGCCTGCCTGCCTGCCTGCCTGCCTGCCTGCCTGCCTGCCTGCCTGCCTGCCTGTCTGTCTGTCTATCTATTTGTCTGTCTATCTATGTATCTATCTATTTGTCTGTCTGTCTATCTATCTGTCTAATTCTAATGGAAAAAGTCTAATTATAATGGAAAGCATTTACTGTATAGACAGTGGACAACCCAAGAGTTACAAATTCTAACAATGGTACTTTTCATTCTGATGGCACTGATATGTTCATTGACATAAATACTTACTGTTTGTAAGAATTGTTTTGAGAAATGCACATACATTTTTGCAAATATTAAGGATGATTCGAGAAATGCACCAAAGCGACTTAGAAAAACTGTAAGTTTTTAGTATGCCTAGTAAGAGCTTGATTAGCTGGTTCAGGTGTGTTTGATTGGGGTTGGAGCTAAACTCTTCAGGACACCGGCCCTCCAGGACCTGGTTTGGACACCCCTGCTCTAAACAATACGTCTTGCAGATGTAAATGCAGACGTCTCCGTGATGTACGTGTGCTATCAGTGTAGCCTGTAGTATGTAGTATGCAGGTATTCTAAACGAATGAATTGGGATTTTCAAGCGCACACTAGAGGGCGAGCACAAAACAGACCAGGAACACTCAAGAATCTCAGCAGAGGGAGGAGAAGAAAAAGAAGAAGAAACGGGCTCTCGGTCTGTGGGGGGTGACGGACGGGCTGAGCGTTTTTGTTCCGCTGGTGGCTCCTGCTTTAACGGTGAGCAGGAGGCACAACGATCCGACCCAGAGCAGCCCGACCCGGAAAGAGCCCGGAGGAGAGGGTCGTTACGGATCGGAACTAAGGCGCTTTTGTTTCTCTCTCAACTCCTGCGGGTTTGGGGGCTCCAGCGGCGGCCGCGGAGACGATCCCGCTCGCCCAGGGAAGGAGGCTGGAAGTCGGGGACGCTTCCAGCCTGCAGGGCCGGGCGCCGTGGCGATTGAACATCCGGAATTTGGTGAACCCTTTGGGGCTCAGTGGATGGGATGGAGCCGGGACCATCTGGCGCTGGTGGGTTCGGATCTTTCAAGTTGTTTCTAATCTTATGAAATGATGCAATGTTTCAACGTGATATTATTACTACACATTGTATCATTTCATAATGATACATTGTAGCATTCCGTCATGACACTTTGTGACATTCTCTAAGGATACATTGTAACATTCCGCAAATACACATTGTATCATAATTCCACAAGAAACATTGTAACAGTCCATTAGAATGTTCATTACTATGTAGGTGGTACCTGAAAGTTAGTGTAAAGGTTACAGTGTAGGATCGTTTATATGTGCTTTAGGGGAAATAATGCAGGGAATCCGGGAGATTGTCCCAAGTCAGGGGTCGTGGGAAGACGTGAGGTTGAAGCCCGCCTTCAGCAGATGCAGCAGGGGAAAGTGACCCCCAGGGGTCTTTATTGATCCTGCTAAAATGTGACTCAGTCCAACGTTACCAATTTCATTTCCATTAACATTATAAATGCAGGAGCCTGTGTGGCATATGACCAGATAAAGGATTTATATTAGGAGGGATAAAAGCTGCTGTGGGTTTTGGGAATATGATTTGATTTAATTTTACATAAACATTTAGTCGATAAATTATGAACTGTCTCAGCGAATCGATGCATTTTTGTAAGAAAAATATCCTTATTTAAAACAGTAATCTTTAGCTTCTGCTAACTTTCATATGCGCGTTCACGAGAGAGTGGCGTTCCAGCTCCGTCATCCGCTGGAACGCCACTCTCTCGTGAACGCGAGAACGACAGTTAGCGGAAGCTAGAGATAATGGTTTATAAAGTTTTAAATATGGATATTTAAATATGCTCATTTTATGATGGATGGACGCACTTTATTGGACGTCTTGTGGACTATTGAAAAATAACACGCCTCCTGTAGCGAATCGATGCATTTTTGTAAGAAAAATATCCTTATTTAAAACAGTAATCTTTAGCTTCTGCTAACTTTCATATGCGCGTTCACGAGAGAGTGGCGTTCCAGCTGATGAAGGACGTAGACGTAGCGAAAGCTCAGGTGAGAAGTGATGAACTTGGAGAGAGCAGAACAAAACACCGCTCACAAATTAGAAGTACAAAACGAGGATTTGTAAAGAAAAATGTCGGAGGATTTCGATACAAGCCAAGAGGAGACTGGTTTTCTTTTGCTGTAAACAAAACTTGGTTCTCGCGAGACTAGCATATTCTCACCGCAGCTACAGTTAGCGGAAGCTAGAGATAATGGTTTATAAAGTTTTAAATATGCTCATTTTATGATGGATGGACGCACTTTATTGGACGTCTTGTGGACTATTGAAAAATAACACCCATTCACTGCCATTCTAAAGCTTGGAAGAGCCAAGACATTTTTAAATAACTCCGATTGTATTCGTCTGAAAGAAGAAAGTAATTTACAACTAGGATGGCTTGAGGGTGAGCAAATCATGGGCTAATTTTCATTTTTGGGTGAACTATACCTTAAACTTTATTGTAAAGTGTTAAAATGCTGTGCAGAAACTTCCATGGAAATTGGACCATTGATGTAAAATAAGTGGTAAATCAGAGTTTTGAATTGATTCATTCAATTCACCGTTTGAACGGCTGCAAAGAAATGAATCAAGTTCTAACAATTTTAAATTGCATTAGAATGGTTGTGATATTCACGTTAATTTTATATCCCAATCAAAATAACTGTGACTATAGTAAATATTGAATATCACCAGTATTCAGCAGAAGAAGCAGTTACAGAGCTGGACTACAGTCTTTAGTAAATGTATTGGGCAGACACAAACAGCACAATGTTCACAATGATGCTTAGTTTTATATCAGCAGCAAATATTTTATGTACACATCTCTATATAGCTATATATATATGTATGTATCTATCGGCCAGCCCTAACAGAGAGCCGCCATTGTTTACTGGTTTCTCGAGATCTGGCGCCATTTCTAGCCATCTGCTGCTGCTTGCATTCTCTCTGGTGTAGGAACATAGAGTTTGCCATTGATCAAGACTTAGCAGAGTATATATCTTGCAGCAAAAAGCGTACGAGAGTTCTTAGAAGCGCCTCTTAAATCACAGGCGAGCTATAAAACGGGCCGTGTAGGATAAGATTGATGACCTTGTCTCGTGTAATGTTGAGGTGCTCGCTGACACTATACGATGAATAAGGCCAAGGTCCGGCTCTCCCAAAACCCCCACGTATCCCTGGTCTCCTGATCTCCATTACAATGTGTGTTGCTGTGCGGTTGCTATGGAGAGGCTGGGAATGTTTTGGGGCCCCTGTGTTTGTGTGTGCTGAGGTGGAGGCGAGGGGGGCTCCTCTACTCCGGCTCGCCCTGTTCGGGAGGGAGGGAGGGCAGCTGGGGTCTTTGTTGTGATGGAGGGAGTGTCTTTGTTGTGATGGAGGGAGTGTTCTTCATGGGCAGAGAGGTTAAAGGCGTCAACACTTCAGACTAGTGCTTCACAACTAGTTTTGGTTTTGGGATGCAGATTTTACTTTGGACAACAAAACTGGTTCAAAATGTTGCCGTATGTAATTTCTGTTCCACCAAAATTATTTCCAAATATTGCCATTGGTCGAATGTTGTTGTGTCAGGCTGGTTGATGATGTACTCAAACAAATCTATGGTTTGAAACTGTGTCAACCTAAGAGTGATTTACTTATAATTATCTAAATTAAATTTATTTTAACATTATTTTAAATTATTTAACAAAAAATGACCCATGTCAATTTTAAACACGTAAGTGTAAGTGTTAGCGTTACCATGATCTACACAGACCCAACCAGTGTTATTGTAAACTAAAGCTATTAAAAATGTTTTGTTTCTTGAAGTAAAGCTGAAAAAATATAAATATTAGATCAAAAACTTAAAGAAATGTGAAATATTTTTAAGTTGAAATACTAAAATGACTAAAACTGAAATAAATCTAAATAGAAATATATATGTATGTGTGTGTGTGTGTGTGTGTTTGTATACAATTTTATATAACAAATAACAATGAAATGTGCATGACAAAATTGCATAAAACCTAAAATAAATTAAAATGAAAACTGAAAATATAAAAATAAAAGCTATATAATTTTTGCACTTTGAATTTGGAATCAGAGGTAGAATGACATGAAAAATAATGTTTTGGGGTTTTTTTTGGTTCCACTTTATTGTCTGTCTCTCTACTTACCAAATTGGGATAAAATAAAGTATTTTAACATGAAAAACAAATGACCAACATCCATTAAAAAAATGTAAACAGCTGAAATTTTGAAGGTTAAACTTTCGTGATCTGATTCTGCACAGACCCATTGTGAACTAAAGTTCTTAAAAGCATTTTTGTATATTGAAATAAAGCTGAAATAAAATATAAATATTAAATGGAAAAACTTAAAAAGATGAAAATGAGAAATATTACCTTGGCAACTAACTGAAATGTAGTAATATATAAAATGGAATACTAAAATTACTAAAACTAAAACGGAAGGGTGTTGTATCATTAAGATATTATTACAGATTTTATTAAGATTTGTAATTATTTTCTTATTTGAATTAGTTGATGTTTTTTGTAATTTAGTTTGTTGTGCTTTTGTTATTAGTTTTTGTTTTTTAAATGTCTGTATTGTTTTTTTTAAATTCAGTTTACGTGTCATTTTAGTACATCAACCTGAGCTAAACGAAAATGAGAAAATTTGCCTTGGCTGCTAGATAAAATAAAATCAAATTAAGCTGTTTAAAATATATTATTTTAGTTTATTTTATTTTATTTCAAATTAACAAACATTTGTTGTGGTTTTAGTTTTAGTAATAACCTTAAAACTGAAATAAAAATATATTAGAAAAAAAGCTAAATAGAAATAATTAGAAAAACAACAACAAAAACGAATACAAATATACTAACATTTTAACTAAAAAGAAAACAGAATAAAAGCTTAAGCTACAAAATATTAATAAATAGTGTAATATAGTATGATTCATATACTAACACTGGACACAAGAATATGAAAAATGACTAAATTGATAGTTCGGCTTTTTAAACGTATCATTTCTTGCAGTTAGTGATTCACTGTTGTCTGAGCAAACCTCATCTCAAGTCTTCTGTGACTGTTTGTGTGTTTGTTTTGAGGGTGAGGGTCTGTCACACAGCCTCTAGCAATAATTGACTAGCAAAGTGACAAATACATTTCCGGGAAAACAAAGTAGAGTTTGATTGGACACATGACCTTTGACATCAACAACAACACATACGGAACAGATTTTCTCTTCCATTTTAAATGCTGATAAGTCTATTTATTTTGCTGTCCTAACTCTATATGGTTAGCTAGCTACATGTTTATTATTTACACTGAGCTTTGTTTATCACTCGGCATCACTGCAGGAGTCAACTACTGTACAGTGAAGAGAGTTTGTGTTGAGTTTTGCTGTTATCAAGCTTGAATAAACACAAAGCAACATGTGTTGTTGAGTTAGCTAAAATCTGATATTGCTGAGATCAGATCAGACTCTTCATATTAGTGGGTGACTGGTGTGTGTTCTCACCAAGGCTGCATTTATTTGATTAAAAACACAGCAAAAACAGTAATATTGTGAAATGTTATTACAATTTCAAATGAATCAATGTTAAACTGTAATTTATTTCTGTGATGCGCAGCTGTATTTTCAGCATCATTACTCCAGTCTTCAGTGTCACATGATCTTCAGAAATCAGTATAATATGCTGATTTGCTGCTCGAGAAACATTTCTGATTATGATCAATGTTGAAAACAGTCGTGCTGCTCTATTTTTGTGGAAACCATGATGCATCTTATTTTTCACAATTTTTGGTGAATAGAAAGTTCAGAAGAACAGCTTTTATTTCAAATAGAAATCATTTTGTTCTAACGTTATAAATGCCTTTACAGTCACTTTTCAACAATTTAATGCATCCTTACTGAATTGAAGTATTAATTTCTTTAAAAAGTCTCACTGACCCAAACATGTGAGAAATTAACTTAAATGATTTTAGCAAATGGCTGCAATATAACAAAGAGTGAAAAATTTAAGGGGGTCTGAATACTTTCCGTACCCACTGTATTTCTGTAAATCAGTGGTCGGACTAATTTATGTTTTTTTACTTGTGAGATTGACAGACACATGCAGTGATGGGAAAATACAGAGCAGGACGCGTCCCAAACAATGCAAGACGATGCAGAACTAACTTCAAACAGGAGTTTATGGTTGCCAAGCAGCATTGCAACTTACTACATTACTATAGTATTAATCTGAAGTTCATTAATGTCATCCAGTCAGAATTTAGAGTCTGTTTTAAAATATGAGTTTTGAGGTTTCACACTGATGTCATCATGTGTTTGTTTTAAAGGGGTGGTTCACTGGTTTTTTCCTAGGCTTGATTGTGTTTATGGGGTGCAGTCTAACATGTGTTAATGCTTCGTTTGTTAAAAAACACAGTTTTTCACATAATTTACCTTTATTCCACACTGCTCTGTCTCTTCTCTGAGAAACGCGCTGATCATTTCCTTCTTGTATGAAGCCCCACCCTCAGAAATAGGCGATGGACTCTGATTGGTTAGCTAGCCCAGTGTGTTGTGATTGGCTAAACCGCCTCTAGTGCGCGTCTAAGCGTCCCGCCCCTCACCTCGGCGGCATGTGCTCCGGTTGAATTGTAAACAAGGTGTCGTTAATATCGCTTATCAGTTTGAGCCCGGTTGAGAAGCAGAGGATATTACTGAAGAGGATCGTGCAGAACCTGTGCAAGCACGGCTTTTAATGGTAGGCCTATGTTTTTTGTTTGTTATTGTCTTATATTTTTAGATATGCTGTTATGTGGAAATGCTACTGCTTATGTTAGCTTTTAATATACAGTTTTATCCTGATTAAAGCTTTAATACAGTACGGCAACTGCAAGTTTAACGCTTCTCATAGCTATGTGAAAATAAGTGTATAATTGGAACATTGTTGGAGCTGAGCTGAATGAGAGATAGAGAGAGAGAGATGCAGAGCGTGTGCAGAGCAGGGGGACGCAAGGAACAGTATTAAGAACCGCTGCTTTAGAGCAGTGTTTCCCAACCGGGGTGCCGCATGCGAATCGGAACAGAAGTCCACTCAAAAAAAACGAGCCGACAGGAAGCATGGATGTAGTACAGTATTGTTTGTGTCTGCAATAGCCCTACTGTGTTGTAATATGGTGTGGTATATGGGCTACTCTGGTATCGCTGACCTCTCATTCATTGATCTGCTAACCGCTATGTTATGCTCACGTGTTCTGATAATAATAGCTTTCTAGGACTAAACATTATTTGGATAATTGGTAAAAAAAATAAAATAAAAATAGCCCTACTGTTAGACCTGAAAAACTAAAAAGTTTATAATTTAATTCGAAGGCCTGTCGTTATTTTTTATTTGTGCTATCATTATTAATTTCTTTATTTGTTCTTATTTTATTACTGACTGCTTACTTGTCATTTTTTTATTCAATTCAAAGTTTGAAATCAAGCTATTGCTACTGCACCAAAATTACCCCACTGTAAAATCAAAAATACACAGAGTGAGCAAAAATTTGTGAGATAGTTTAAGTTATAATGGTAATTAAACAATGTTTACATATGAATAAAAGCCTACGTTAAAATCTGTCATATAAATTGGTCTCCTTATTAGAAATTAGCCTACTGATTGCCTCCATGGACAAAACATTTTATAATATTAAAAATATCTGCCACACACACATATATATATATATATGTGTGACACATTCTGCAGTTCTTCCCTGTTGTACCGAATATCGACACTTTTCAAAGTATCATATCGAAGTTAGAAATTCAAATATTGTGACAAAATAAATTTTGTAGGGTGCCACAAATTTGTTAAAATTTCCAAAGGGTACCGCGACTAAAAAAAGGTTGGGAAACACTGCTTTAGAACATTGATTTTGAAACCTGTGAATCCATTAGAATCCTTAAAAGACAGAATCACGATTCATATATGAATAGATTTTACGTGCACCTACACGTGCAGTGTGTGGGTGTATATATATATATATATAATATAAATACATATAAATAAAATATACTAAATATACACTGTTATTTACTAAATATATAACAATAAATATTACACTACTATATTAAAACATATTAAAGTATTATATAACTTATATAAATATATAATATAGGCTAATTTACCAAATTATTTGTTTATTGCTTTTTAAAAATATATTGTTTATAAAAATATATTAAAAATATAAGCTTTTTTAAAAATATATTTCTTAATTTAGGAAATAAGCACATACACTTTTGTCTTGATACATTAAAAATAAAAGCTTTCTGTGGATTGGGCAGGGAAAATATGTTTTTTATTCAATTCAAAGTTTGAAATCTCATGCTACTGCAACAAAATTACCCCACTGTAAAATAAAAAAAAACACTGAGTGAGCAAAAATTTGTGAGATAGTTTAAGTTATAATGGTAATTAAACAATGTTTACATATGAATAAAAGCCTACGTTAAAATCTGTCATATAAATTGGTCTCCTTATTAGAAATTAGCCTACTGATTGCCTCCATGGACAAAACATTTTATAATATTAAAAATATCTGCCACACACACACATATATATATATGTGTGACACATTCTGCAGTTCTTCCCTGTTGTACCGAATATCGACACTTTTCAAAGTATCATATCGAAGTTAGAAATTCAAATATTGTGACAAAATAAATTTTGTAGGGTGCCACAAATTTGTTAAAATTTCCAAAGGGTACCGCGACTAAAAAAAGGTTGGGAAACACTGCTTTAGAACATTGATTTTGAAACCTGTGAATCCATTAGAATCCTTAAAAGACAGAATCACGATTCATATATGAATAGATTTTACGTGCACCTACACGTGCAGTGTGTGGGTGTATATATATATATATATATAATATAAATACTATACATGATTTTAGCGTTAATCTGTGGATGGATCGATGTCATACAGTCAGAATTCAGTTTGTTGTAAAATAATAGATTGACATAATGAGAAAAAAACAGTGGACAAAATATAAATGCTGCCTTTTACAGTCATTTTTATGAAAATAAACTGCATTTAAATAAATCCTAAAAAAAAAAAATGTGTATGAAGAGTTCAGATGCAAAAGCCTCTAAGTGCCATCTGAATTTTTCTTCTAAAATGAACATTTTTATCAGGCTCCTATGTGCAGGTTCAGTAATTTAATAGCAATGTACAGGTCCTTTTCTATGCCATAAAAGTTAAATAACTGAACATAAATATAGAATCCTGATAAAAATTTTAGAAGAAAATTTCAGATGGCACTTAGAGGCTTTTGCTTCTGAACTCTTCATATGTACACACACACACACACACACACACACACATATATATATATATATATACAGTATATATATCATGATAGTATAGTATTAATCTAATGTGCACTGTTGTCATACCATCAGAATTTGGAGTCTGTTTGGAGTCTCAGAGTATGAAAAGTGTTGAAAATAAACTGTGCTGCTTGCTCTGATATTGAATGAATCATGATTGTCCGAATGGCTGTCGATTCCATGCAGCACTACTTGTGAGTCCACTCTTAAGTATACTTTTAACCCCATCCTCCCTACTTTCTTTTTTCAGTTTTTTGCCTTCCCACCCCCTTCCCATTTTAGTCACCATCCGCTTTGTTCCTTTCCCCTGCTTTTGTGCCGTTTCCATACACACTCCTGTCACCATTTCTCTAGTCCCATAATCCCCCAAACTCCCCCTGAACTCCTCCTTTCAGCGTGTCTCGCTCTTATAACCTCCTATCAGCTTAATGACCCCCCCCCCCCCCCCCTCCCCCCCCCGCACCCCCCCACCCCCCCCCCCCGCCCCCCCCCCTAACCCTAACCCTAACCCTAACCCTAACCCTAACCCTAACCCTAACCCTAACCCTAACCCTAACCCTAACCTAACCCTA